ACAGCAAGAGTTCTTGTCAGGTCAGGGGGTTGATGAACTTCAGCTTTGGTCTGTGTGTGGTGTGTTTGTTCAAGAATGATTGGGAAAGATATGAGCAAACCTTTCAGCAAAAAGCAGTTTTGGGACATGCACACAAACAAACCAATGTTGAGGTTCACTGACTCCTAACTAGACAAAAACTCTTGTTGTGTTTAATATGACAGTGTTCTCAAGATGAACTCAAATGGCTGAAACCCAAAAAAAATGACATTAATTATCCTACTTATCGGAGCGGTACATCCGTCCAATCAATACTCCTGATCACCCTCCCTGTTCTGTCACGATAATACACAGAGATCTGAGCCAAGCTCATCCATCAGTGCAGTGAAAACATTGTGAAGCCCTACAGCGGAATAGAAACAAATGGGTAAGTCATTGCCCAGAATGATATGCTGTTGCCAAAGCTGAGCTCAGATAAAGTTGAAAGGCACAGTGGAGTTTGCCAATAGCAGTGCAAAGTTCTATTTTATAGGGCTAATCATTCTTGTAAGTGCTGCGTATTTGCCTACGTGTGTGCAGAGCCTCCTGTGTGAATAGGTCAGCTAAACATGAGCAAACAGAGAAACAGGCGGCTAATACGAGGTTAACAGAGGCATAACACACGATAAACACAGGCACCATGGCCACATTAGCAGATAAAGTCAACAAAACAGCATTCGCAAACCATTTCACCTATTATGTGACATACTTCTAAAAGAAACAGGATATTCAATGATGAAAAATAGGACAGCTGTAGGGTTGGGTATCATTTGAATTTTATCAATTACGATTTCGATTCTTTTCGATTCCCAGTTTCGATTCCAATGTGATTAAATAATGATATCAAACGTTTATCCTGTGTCTCTTTTTTGCAAACCATTTATTTGGAGCTGAATACCATGAACAAAATTCAACATGCTACAACAGGCATGTAATTTATGAATTAATGATTAAAAGACTCACTTAAGATGTACTTGTTTCATTACTGGATAAATCAGCGTTCTTGAACGAATCTCTTGTATGATTCAAAGACAAATAAATTTTAACAGCCCCTTTTCGCCACCTACAAGCTACTAACAACACTACCATTCAAAAGTTTGGGTTTAGTAAAGTTTTTATTGTTTTTTATGTTCAACAAAACTGCATTTATTTGATAAAAAATACAGTAAAACAGTAATATTGAGAAATATTATTACAATTTACTTTCTATTTTAATATATTTTAAACTGAAGTTTTAAGCGTCATTACTCCGGTCTTCAGTGCCACATGATCCTACAGAAACCATTATTATAATATGCTAATTTGCAGCTCAAGAAACATTTATTATTATCATCATCGATGTTAAAAACAGTTGTGCTGCTCATTATTTTAATGGAAACTGATAAATTTTTTTCCAGGATTCTTTGTTTTGCAACAATATAAAGGTTACACAAATGCAATGCTTCCTTGTTGAATAAAAGTATACATTTTTCCCAATCTGACCCCAAACATTTGAACATTAGTGTACATTAAAATTACTTGGAGGCAATAAATGTCCATTGATACTGCTAACAATGAATAATGAAATTTATAAAGCTAAAAACAACTGCAACAAAATAAAGGGGGCAATAATATTAAAGAATGTTGGTAATGAAACTAATGAAGACTAATGAACGACTATAATGACTAAACACACTTGCCAAAAAAGGCATGATGATGCTAATTAATAATGCTAATAATGTAAATAAAAAAAATAAAAAATAAAAAACACTTTTAAATGATGACATGAACTACTAAAATGAATCAAATTTTGTGATTCTAAATAAGAAGACTTTCACTGCAAATTAAAACAGCTAACTGCTTAAAAAAGCTAAACTGCCGAGTTTGAAAACTATAAATCTCCAGTTCCTCATCAGAAAGTTATTTTGGAGAGGGCTGACAGTTTTTGGCCCGTGTCTTCATAGTGGGAGGAACTGGAAAGACCTTGAAACATCTCCAAGAGGCTTTAGTACAAAATGATTAAATCAAGACTGCGGGGAGCCAATTAAATCTGTCAGGAGGGAAAACACAATCAAACCGGTTCCCAGCTCAGTGAGGGGTTAAATATACAAAGCCCAGGATAAGATGATCCAGACTAGCACGAGCATGGCTGATATCAGAGGTCGGCAGTTCCCATCACTGATTTCTTGATGCTGGCCTGCTACATTGTTAACATAGCAGCCAGATGTATCACACACAGTAATAAATTCAAGCATGCCTCCCTCTCGCTCAACTTGTCAACAAATATGTGAAAATTACTTGGAAATATAGACTGACAAAGTGTGTTTTGAAAACACTGGAGCTGAGTTTCTTGCACAATCTCCACATCTGTTCAGGGGAAACAGCGCAATGATTGTGAGACAGTAAACTTTTCTGTGAAAGCAGGAGCAAGCAAACATCCAACAGGAAAGGCATGTGAGTATATGTTTGTGTGCGTTCTGTGCGTCTGAACGCGAGGGGTTCGTGTGGAAGAGTGGGTGAGTGTTTACCTTTGGGTTCAAAGGGTCGGCATTTGAGCCGGAGGACAAGTGAAGTGTGTGTGCGTCTAGGCTCAAAGCACTGGATAGACGCCAGGTCAGGAAGGTACCTTATTTATTTTTCGGCCTTTAAAACCTCAGGCCCAGACTGTCTTTCTAACATTCCAGCAGTATAAAATGATAGCAGCAGATAGACCTGGACTAACATTACAGGGATGTATTTGACCCCAAAGTCTAAGATTTTCTTTTAAAATGAGATTATCTGTCAGTCTGATTTCTTTCAATTACTTGCTAAGTGGCCGGATCAGTACTTTAAAGATACAGGTCAGCCGGATGAGCCTGCGTATCTCAGCACTTTGGACACAAACAAGATGAGTGCCTGATATCTCATGTGAGGATGATACTAACCATGCTCCGGAGCCAAACCGTTGTGGACACAGGGGTTTCAAACACAGATCTCGGCATGACTGCCAATAAGTACGATATCTCTGTCTAAAAGACAGTCGGAGCCCACAATACAAAAACCTTCTGCTGGAAGAGATTTTACTAGCAATGAAAAAGTAAAATAAAATAAGACTAAGAAATGTATCATGGTTTCCACAAAAATACTAAGCAGCACAACTTTTTCGAAACCCATGCTCAAGCAATGGCATAAAATTGAATGAAAATATTTTGATTGAATTGTCAAAGTCAACATTAGACAGCATTTGCAAACCATAAACTCGTGTAAACCCAAGTACTGTAACATTTTCAAATGGAAACATATTCATTGTGAGATAATGTAGAGTGGGACTGGATATGATCCATTGGGATTTGACTCGATTTGTGAAAAGTGTACAAATGAGGGTATTTTTCTCCACACACACAAACAAAGGGGAAAAAAGGCAAACACATTTTGAAGAAATATATAAGAAAAAAAAAATTGATAATAAGAAGAAATGTTTCTTGAGCAGCAAATCATCATATTAAAATAATTACAATGATGCAACACTGAAAACTGGAGTACTGCCTGCTAATTTAGCTTTGCTATAACAGGAATAAATTATATTTTGAAATATATTAAAATAGGAAATAATATTTCACACTGGAATATAATGAAGAACAATATATTATAATATTACATGTTATTTTAAATAATATTATTATTTATATATTATTATATAATTTCCACCATATTGTTAATAATGCTTCCGAAATTAATTAAAGGCTGGAATACACTGTGACTTTTGCCCAGATTTACATTCTGGAAGAGTCAAAACTAGTTTCCTAAAGTCAGAGCTAGTAAACAGATTTTTGCCAGTCGGAGTTGACCGAAAATTGCATAGCATATGATGTGCACAGACTCTGATTTGTTAACGTTGGACTATGATCACATCCAGTAAAAGGATTAATGATTAAAGCAAAGTTTTTCCTCTGTAAGCATATACAAAGTAATCAATACCTAGTGTTTTAAAATATTTTAAGATTTTTATAGTCCTCTAGTGTATTTCATCCTAAAGCCACTCCAAGCCACAACCATTTTGACAAAAGTTAATCTGTGCCATATACAGTGGTGTGAAAAAGTGTTGGCCCCCTTCCTGATTTCTTATTTTTTTGCATGTTTGTCACACTTTAATGTTTCAGATCATCAAACAAATTTAAATATTAGTCAAAGATAACACAAGTGAACACAACATGCAGTTTTTAAATGAAGGTTTTTATTATTAAGGGAAAACAAAATCCAAAACTACATGAGTAACTGTAAGTGGACTATTGTAATAGGTAAATCAAATGTAAGCTAGTACAGTACTAATTAATTACTAAGCTCAAATTAGTTAATGTGTTTCTTATAGCAGTTAAAATGTAGTCATTTTCTTTCTTTATTAAAATTTTTAATTCAGTGATTTGAACTTTTAATTTAGTTATTTTAATGCTTTAAAGAGCAATTTTAGATTGTAATGTTCTAATGTTCTCTGTTCTGAAAACTATAAAAGGTACAGCTGTAATAAAACCAGAGAGAAAGGCTGCACGGCTAGAAACTGCAGAAAAAAAAAAGTCAAATAATAGTATGTGAGACAGTGGTAATATCATTATGTTCCTATTGGTCAGTAGAGGAGCTTAGCCTGACAGTTAACATGCTTTAGACCAGGTTAGTTTCCCAGCATAAGTTGCCACAGTGACTAGCTTGATCTAGGCCCATGTTAAATTTGCTTTATGGAACCAAATCATTTGACAATGAGCCTGGCTTATTTGGTAAACTTGTTTTATGAAACAGGCCTCGAGGCATTAAAAGTGATCATATTTTCTACTTTGCATCGAAACGCATTGTGTTAAATCGAATCGGAATCGGATCGCACTGCATCGTAATAGGGGTCAATTGTATCGCATCGCATCGGTAGCTGCTTCATATGTATCTTTAATGTATCGTATCGTTGACTATGCATCGAGATGCGTATCATATCAGCCTCAGTCATGGAGATGCACATCCCTATTCTGCACGCATGTTACCTCGACAGTGCGGCCCCTCGTCACGTCCATCCGAGCAGTCTGGGACGCCATCACAAAGCTTGCTCAGGTGAATGCACACATCTGTTCCTCGACACTCAAACTCATTGGGAGGGCACTGTGATACCTGGGTGTGATGGCCTGCAAAGTTAAACAGCAAACAAACACAAGTTAACACAAGTTAACACATAGTAACGAAACAAACAGATGCAGCTCAATTCAACTGCTAGTTTAACAAGTCATGTCTATTTCTTTTAGAACGTTAAAGTTGATGCCTAAGTGACGCAACGCATGATAATTTGCACACTACAGTGACAACAGACTCATAATGTGGTAGAGTGTGAGAGCATGTGGATTTGAGTTGCAGACCATTCGGTTTAAATGCCTATTGCATCCTTATTACAGTTTTCACCAGCTGTAAAATGTTGTTTTCAATTGGTGCATTAGGTTTCAAATTAATTTTATGTTAATATTATTTATATACTATTATATTTAGAATTGTATTTTGATATTTTGTTTTTAGTTTAAAGGGTTAGTTCACACGGCTCCGGGGGGTGAACAAAGGCCTTCTGTAGCGAATCTATGCGTTTTTGTAAGAAAAATATCCATATTCAAAACGTAATAACCCCTTTAATGTAGCTTGCGCTCACTGTTGTACCCAGAAGCAGTTCCGGGCAGATGATGTATGGAGGTCGGCTTTGCGCATGCGCCACTCAGAAGTGACGCACGCGGCAGCGAAGGGGAAAGATCAAAACAAAACAACGGTCACTAATTAGAAGTACAAAACGAGGATTTGTAAAGAAGAATGTCGGAGGATTTCGATATAAGCCAAGAGGAGACTGGTTTTCCTTTGCTAAAGTAAGGAAACTTTGCTTCCTTTGCTCCTGTTAACAAACGTTGGTTTTCACAAAACTCACCGACGCATGCGCAACGCTGACCTCATACGTCAAGTACAAGTACTTACAGTGTACAACTGTTGGCGCAAGCTACATTAAAGTGATTATTACGTTTTGAATATGTAAATTTTTCTTACAAAAACGCATCGATTCGCTACAGGAGGCCTTTGTTCCCCCCCCGGAGCCGTGTGCAACTTTTTTTTTTTTTTTTATAGATGGGCACTTTTTATTTCCCTTCTTTTGGACTGAAGCACTGCAACACCTGCTGACTGGAATGACAGAGCTTGGAATAGCCAGGACAATTTT